TACCTTCCCATATCAAGGCCTTGTGTCACTATAAAAAGCGAGATTGTTTTCATCGCCGGCTTGCTAAGACTCGCGTAATTTACAGCATCTAATATCCCCCAGCGGTCACTCATCAAAGCGTTGTTTAATTTCGGTGATCGAACGAGAACCGATTTTTTAACATTATATGGTTGTAAATGACAGAATAATTTCATCGGTAATAAATGATGAAATTTCGACTAAAGGTTTGAAATTAATTTAGAACAGGGCCGGTGTAAGGATCTCGTGCTTCCAACTCGAATCTATGATACGGAGCACCAGGCTATCATATCTCAATTTTTATAAGGTAGTATTCATATAAAATACAGATTTTATTGTAACCTAATTATGTACAATAATGGATCATATGCAATATAGGTGAACAAATGAACTAGAAAATTTGAAAATAAATACAATGTATCTAAATACAAATTAGAGGCATGTCGTAATAGATCATTCCATCTTAAATAAATCAACAATTTTGCGGCAAATTTTAATATCAACTTGAGATTTTTTTTGTTACAAAGTTGAATAATTTAACGCATTCAATGTTATGGCTAAAAACTAGTGAATTTTATATGGTGTTTTTTTTTTTTTTTTTCGGGACTTAGCAAAAGCAAAACAAATTTACGGATTTGAACGGAAAAAAAAACCAGAATGACGTCAAAATCCGCGAAAATTTTTCATCCTTTAATAGTCAGTTATGCTTAGTTTAATTTTTAACATACATGAATGTAGGTAGAAAAAAGCGTATGTTGATAAAATATCGAGGGTCATAAAGCACTGGCCCTTAATCAGACGACCCCCCCAACACTTCAGTAGGTTGGGTGTGGGGGGCTCGGGGGTAGTATAATTTTAGAATACCGATGTCTTTGTCACATTTTAACAAACGCATTTCGTATATGACCTGTGAACCTATTCAATCTCAAATCAAACATTTTTCTAGCATTTCATTATCTCTGCAGGTTTGTATTAAGACGATGCAAGTTTATATATTGGCATTAAATGAACTTAATCTGGGAAAGCGATCATCATAGTCAGTAGTAAGGATCGAATTCACTACACTAGCGAAATACGTGTTGAAATAGCGAAAGATGCCTTCCAAAAGCAAAACAAAGTGTTAAGAAACAGGAAAACTTCGTTAGAAACAAAGAAAACAGTACTGAACTGCCGTGTAATATCAATCCTCACATATTGTAGTGAATGTCGGACAGTGTCTTCACAGATGAAGAGGAGATGTGTCCTTACTTACGGAAGGATGCTGAGAATACCAAAGACGTGAGCAACGAGGAAGTTTTAAGGAAATTAAAACAAAAAGGACACTTAGAATCAGAAAGAAAGAGTTGGAATTTCTGCGACACATAATGAGGAAAGAGAGCTTGGAGAATTTGACACTCACAAGACTTAAGCCAAGCAAAACAAACAGAAGCAGCGAGAAACCTCCCTAACGAATTTGTGTAAATGAATTTTAAAGCCTAGACTCGTATGCAGATATGCTCACGAACACAAAGAAAAATGCAAACTCATCAGCTTTATTATTCTAGCTTTATAGGTACAAAGGAGAGGAAGTTGTGGAGAGTCATGAACGTTTACGCCTTGAAGAGATACAGCATATAAAAGAAGAAGAATAGCTAGCGAGATGTGATGAATACCCTCTTTACGGCAGGAACGCTACACGCGTGTATGCATATAAAAGTTTTACTATTGATTGGATCTTTGTTAATGTTGTCTCAGAGGTAAACAGATTTTTGTTGCTACAGCCGGAATAGATAAGGTA